GTACCATAGCCACTAGACCACCACGGCGGGGCTGTACAAAAAAGGACGAAGGTTGCTGGCTGCCCACACAAGAGAGATTCATTCGCACGCCATAATTGAAAAGAAGAGCCCCAAGGTGGAGAAGCGTCTACTGACGTAACATGTCACGCAATTTAGACTATCGTGTCACCTAAACAATACAGCAACATTCCGTAACCTTTTATAGTTTCGCAGGCTTCGGTGGGGGCTGAAAGGTCCAAGTTGGCCAGAAGAGGTGAAGACCCCTTCTGACTAAATATTGGAGAAAGCTGCTGCTTGCGAGGGACGCCCATCGAAAGCCGCGTCTTGTCTCAGCAGATCCGTCAGAAGTCTTGCAATTGAGAGGTCAGTGGTAGCCGTGCCACAAAGACTTCCCCGTTTTAAAAATTTCAATGTTTTTGAAATTTCTGGAACTCAAGGTGGAACAATGGATATGATAATACTGATAAACAGGGAGGTCTTAAAGTCGTGAGGCTGTCAGTGAGAGCTTCGATAAAATCCGTCATATAGAAGATATAGGTAGCCAGAAATACTGATAGCCTGATACACAACTTACACATAAGTACGAAAAAACACGCATTATTATACAAAATGTACAGAATAGCACAAACAACAAACCCCAAAATACAATAACAGTTATTCTGATTCGTATAAGGAATTATGAATTTAATTCAGTGCGAACGTAAGGCTTTCCTGAACATTGGGAGGGATTCATTCTTAATACTGAAAGCGATGAATTCCACAAAAATGCAGACGAAAATTTTGTAGTAAACTTGCCATATTTAGTCTTGATGATAAGATCCGCGATTTTGTGTCCCAAAACCACGATATGATTGTGAGAGATGCCATAGTGGAGGCATCTGGAAATTTTGACCATCCGGTGTTCTTTAACGATCACTGTCGTCGCACAGTACACAAGTCTCAACCACTTCGCCTCCCTCACCCATAATTAGTCTTGGCTTTCTGTAGCAAGAAGTTATTAGCTGTTGCGTAACTTGTATATGACACCGGAGGAAGCAGACATGAGCTTAGTAAAGGAGATCTTTTCCACTGATATATATGTCAATGTGAGTGCCGGAAAATTACAAATAATACAAGTACTATACCATTGGAAAAGATGAGAGACAGCTGCTGCTTGCGAGAGACCCAAAGACATTTTGTGTGTTTTCTTTATAAGTTATAGACAGTTTCGCCAGAGCCTGCTGGTCTTGTGCGTTCACCAGGAAATACCCTTGGAAACTTCCGCTTTATCTTGTTTTTGCGTGGTTTTAGCGTTTGTTGCTGGCCGTGGCTGCTTGTGTTCTGGTGTTTCATGCGGATAAAATTTTTCTGATGGAGCGCTGGCAACTCAAGCACAGCTGTGTCAAGTCAGCATGCAGTCTACATGCCTGAATTTTTTTATTATGCAAGTAAAAACATTCTGTCTTTCGATCGATGACGACAGAAAGAGTTCCTGCACTGCAACACTCATGCCAGAAAGCTAGATTTCCACTCATGATTCCCACCAAGAGAGCGTGGGTTTGTTCTGCCCATTTCATCAAAGGCAATATAAAGCTCAGCACCGTATAATGGCACAGAGGTGATACTCAGACGTTAGACTAGTCGAAAACCCCCGGTTACCGGGAATACGTGGCAGATAAGTGTACCGACGCCTGAAATGGGTAGTAAAACGTGAAACCCAACTCTGAAAATCCATCGCAAAAGTTTTTATGTTGTAGTTTGAGCGATATCAATTGTGTGTACTGTTCGAAACAAAATGGGACAGAAAGTAGCCGGGCTTAACATGAATGGCCGCACAGCGTACGTCGTGGTGTTCACGTTTTGTTGTCATTGCATTCGATTTTTTTTAAGTGACGCAGGCGAGTCGGCTCTCATCTGTGCGAACAAATGAATTATCGCCTATCTTTCTGCCGCTAATGAACATTGCCACATTGTAGCTAATTTAATTTTTATGTGTGAACATGGACTGTAGGTTTAGGTATAGGTTCAACTTGAAAGTTTCATTCATGAGTAGCTTATTCGTCAGTAAAACATAATAGTTCGCGTGACCCTGCAGCCGCAGTTGACGTCAACACATCAGCACATTTTGTAATTTCTTAGTCACACGAACACTTCGGATCGCGAGTGATTCCGATCGCCGCTGATCTCTCTAAAATGTGCCTGGTGGGACACAGGCGCATAAATAAGTCCTTCGTCCTGAATTTGTATGATAAGGACGAAAACAAATATGTTCGGGGTTCAACAGAAGAAAGGTTTTCAGTTCTAGTTGAAAAGCTGAATTCGACAACTTTACTTTGAATTGAGCACCTCTTTTCCGGCATGTCGACGATGTGGAAGCGCTTTGAAGACGCGTGCAGGGAAAAGACAAGCACGTGTGCACTGTCGATTCCCGGTTCGCCTCTTCAAAGTGCTTCCACATCGTCAACATACAGAACCAACTGACCCAATTAAGTTCGCTGACAAAATTCCCCTGCAATTTATGCATTTTCTGTTTGTATACGTGCGATCACTGTCAGATGTAACACGGATCAGGGGGCCACGCCCACGACAGATATTTTGCGCTATGCCCATCTGCCACGTGAGCCGTGTTACCTGCAGCAGTGGCCGCCCCTGTACCAGCCGTGCGCTACTTCGAACCCCTTCATGTAGCCGCTAGACGTTGTTCTAAACACATCTTAAGGAATGCGCCAAAATAAAAGAACAGCAAACTCAAACACACCATGAAAATACCGCCGGGCCCATTGAAAAAGTATTACCAGAAGTGCCGCATCCCAAGTCTGCCTGGGTAGGCCGTTCGGCGCTAGCCAGTTTGTTTAGAAACACCAAAACTGTCTATACCCTTCCATGCGTTGTAGATAGCAACTATAATAGTAGAAAATATTTGCACTTGGAGCTGGTGCGCAATCAGAGATTCCCTTCGTATTACTTGAAGATTCGGCTTAGTTCGGACACCTCCAAGATACCATCATAGGTGAGCGTTGCAATGTGTCACTTACTCTTCCATACTACGTCCCTAGTGTTTCGGGCATCGCGGTGGTTTTAGACAAGAACGATTTGTTTTTACTGTATTTCCCTATTTCTCTCATACGTCGTTTGACTAGCCATAACTGCAACATTTAGTGCGTATTTCAGGTGCCAGATTGACGAGCTCTGTTATATGAACACATCTCATTAACTATGCGTATAGTGGCGATAAACATAGCTTGAGGTACGTGTTTTTGGTGCCAGGTTGATGAGCTCTATTGTGATGTCACGGAGTCGTGATGTTTGCGATGGCAGAGACGACTTGTCGAAAAGGAAACTGTTCATTAGGCTGAAGTTTTGGCCGGTGAACAGAAAAGGAGATTACAATGACACACACTGGCAGAGATAGCGGCAAAGAATGATCAACAAAACTGAATAAAACGAAAGTGAAATAAGAAATGCGCTTCCCAGTATCAATGCAGCTCATGAAGTAGCCGTATACTAACCCTAACTAAAACAATTAGTACGTATTTTGGGTGGTAGCTAAATGAGCTCTATTTTATCAATACAGATCAATAACTAGCCAGCTCATCGAGCCATATTTATGAGTTTTATTACGTATTTCTGGTTACAGATTGATGACCGTTACTGTATCAATTCAGCTCATCAACTGGCCGTATTAACTAGGCATAGCTATAACTTTTACTACGTATTACTAGTGCCAGTTTGGCAGGATCTACTGTATCAATAACGCTCATGAACTAACCGTATTAACTAGCCATAACTATAACATTTAGCTCATCTATCGGGTGACAGATAGATGAGCTCTGTCATATCAATACAGCTGACCAACTAGCTTTAGGAAGTAGCCATAACAATATTATTAGGCACGTATTTCAGGCGCCAGATTTATGAGTTCCATTCTATCAATACGACTTATCAACTTGCCATATCAACAAGCCATAACTATAACATTTAGTACGTATTTCAGGTGTGAGACAGATGAGCTCAAATGATCAATACAGCTCATCAACCTGCTGTATACTAGCCATAGCTGTACCTTTTAACACACCTTTTCGCATGATTGGTGAGCTCTATAGTACCAATTTGTTTCTTATACCACAGTAATATTACTACCCCAAAACCACATGAAATATGAAACTGCAATAGGAGGACTGCGCCTGCCGATTTATTATCATCATGAATGCGAAACAGCGCAATAAACAAGGAGACAAACACACACACACACACACACACACACACACACACACACACACACACACACACACACACACACACACACACACACACACAGACATTAGCGCTTATTGTATAACCTTCTGTCTCCTTGTTCTTTGCGTCAATTCGCATCGATGAAGCCATATCAGCAAGTTTGAACTCATGCACATTCATTATTTTGAGCCGTTTGAAAATTTTCGTGCTTAGTTTAGTACAAAATGTCTGAACTCACTTGCCCCACACGCAACACGGGAAAGCCAACGTGCAGCAGTTGATAAGTTCGTGAAATAGAGTTGCGAACCTGGCAAGTAGACATGAGACGTGGGAATACAATTCCTACCATTCGAAAAAGATTAGAGAAAGATGCTGCTTGTGAGGGATCCCGTATCAAAGTAGTGCTTTTGTTTGAGCAGGTCTGTGAGAGATCAAGCGATTCTTGCAATATTTAAAATAAAGCACTTCACTACCGAATTGTTACGTGGAAATGAGATGACTATTAGGATATTTCTCACCACGCATGTAAACTTCACTGAAGACCACGCAAAAGTATGAAGCAACTGACCTGTAATTTTACAACTGCCGTCACACAACCAGCGATGATAAAAAAGTGGAAATAGCCTCTTGACGGCATGCTTAGCATTTGGTTTAAAATTAACAACTTTGTATCTCTGTAATATTACGTTCATATCATTAATACATATGCTTGCACAAATAAAGCGCCCATAGGGAAAGCAGGATGCGGCGATGCAATCTCTATTTATATTTTTCAGCAGCCTCTAATACCAGGCGGGCGCATGCTTTGAATGAAAAGCTGATATTGGCCTTTGGAAAATGAACCTATGCATTAACATGATCGCAGTCTTTCTCACAGGTAAACCTCATTCGCTCTTCATGATTTTGTGTTCCAAGCGTAAATTTCTTAAAAACAGTTCTCTGATGCTTCCTCCTAGTGAACTGAAATGCTGTTGCTCCGAATTTAAAAAAAAGGAACCAATGTAGCCAAAGTTGCCTTGTAACTTAGTTTTGACGTGATATTTTTAGCCCACTAGAACATACACGTTTTTTGAGACACGTCTTTGTAAAACGGCGGACAATTTTAAATAATCAAGACCAGCTAACGGCCCAATTTTATGCCTCCTGCTTGAACTTGAAAAACAGATACGTTGCGAATAAATATATCTTTATATGGCATTCAGCATGAAGGTACTTATGGAGTATACATAGTTCTTTGCAAATACAAAATAGTCTTGATTGATTGATATGTGGGTTTTAACGTCCCCGAACCGCCATATTATTATGAGAGACGCCGTAGTGGACGGCTCCAAAATTTCGATCATCTAAGGTTCTTTAACGTGCACCCTAATTTGAGCACACGAGCCTACAACATTTCCGCCTCCATCGGAACGCGAAATATTCTTAGACAGTCCAGCGAAGAAGCTGGTGTAACATTGAACATTTGTACAATTTTTCTTAAAGCTCCAGACTGAATTCCAGTCGCTGAGTTTAAACAGTATAAGTTAAACTTCAGCTATTTCAATTAGGCTAAAGATAAACTATCAGGGTTGATTTTGTTGTGGATTGGTGTTTTCAAGTTCAACCTAAAACACACTTTACGCATCATATCTTGCACGCAGCAGAAGCATAAATGCAGCATGCCAGCCAGGCATTTTCTAACACGCATACAACTAGAGACACTCGTGGCAAATGTGATAGGCGTTGCGTAGGAGAACCTATGCTGCGCAGCAGCTGATATCAGTGGCAGAAAAATGTACAGACACACCAGCTGACGTGAAATAAAAGGTTGAAAAGTAGTGTATTGTATTCGCAAATAGTAAAAATAATGGCGACTGGATGTGTCAGAACAGACGTCTGAATGTGGCAAAAGAGTAGCCGTGGAGCCAACCTGAAATGTCCCTTGCCAAACGGAGTGAAAAAGCAGCTCATTTGGCACTAAGTAGCCACCAACAATCGCCCTGTTAGCGAAAAAAGAAGAAGCATCATGGGGCCACGCACTAAGGTGGTATAAGTCGTTCAATACGTAGTCGTTCAATATAGGGGATCCAGGTGACACCTGTTGAGCTCCGATAATTTCGCCTAGTTGTATTTGAGCGTCCTGTTAACGCCTGAGTAAAATATTGCCGCATTGAACGCAGGAGAGGACAGGGAAAGCGTTCCGCTTGTGAGCGAATTTCAATAGTATTTGACAAACTCGAAAAAAGTTTGTGGATGAAAAGTCGTGGAGGTGAAAACTTCAGCAGGAATGTCATAAAAAACGTATAGAAGAATCCGGTGGAAAGTCATGAAATTGTGCTGAGAGGATTATATAGGTGCCATACAAATGAACAAATATATGTGTCATGTTTTACGCTTACTAGCTTTTGTTCTTTCTCATTTTCTGCAAATTTTGGAGAAAAATCCTACGAACCCGCATGTGTTTTGAATTCCAGTTGACCTCACTACTACTATGTCTTCTTTTTTCGGTGTCAAAGGAGCTACATGGGCGAAAAAGTTAGCTGACCCGAACAACTTGTTACAAGATCTGTTCGGCAACCTCATACCTAACTACTATTCTCTGAGGGATGTTTATTTCACCGTACGCCCGCCTTCACAACCATCAAGCCCGTGGTACCGCTTCAACCTGACGGACGGAGTACTGGTCGATATTGGAGACAAGTTGAAGCCTAAAAACGACAAAGAGGTTTACTTATTTGTTCTACATAGCTGACCTGCCTAAATGTATCGAGTAGCGCATTCGATCTCTAGTGTTTGATGTTTTCCTACATTTATTGCATATTTTCAACGCAGTCATTGAAAATTACTCGTCCTTTACTTTTAGTTAAATAATGCTGTTTGCGCTAGGGTTACCCATGCAGCTACTCAAAGTTCTTTTCTGAACTAAACCTGAAGGAGTGTTATGATGGCATCATAAAAAATATTTGTTTTATCACGTAGTTAAAGAAATGAGAGAGTAAGTTTCGGTACCAGGGAGATTCTTCTTATCGTCAGTGTTTTTGAATAAATAAGAAAAGCAATGGAAAAACAAGGCATTAAGAAAAAAGCTGAAAATTCTCCACAGATTTCCACTACCTATGCAGCACCCACTGCAAGCAAAATGTAAATAGTTCGGACATACCAGTATGAGAAGGGACCTCTCACAAGATTTATCAATCGACTCTTACTTCTTTTTTGAACAAGCTTCGATCGATGCAGAGTTCAACAACCCCATACGGAATCCCTGTTGACGATTGGTATACCATTACTGCTCACCGATATGAGTAGCAGTTGTAGTGAAGTGGTTATAACTTAGACCAAGTATATCACATACTTTACTGAATGCATAATGCAACTGAATTAGGAAGTACATGCCCCCCGTCTTCCCCTGCGTATTGCTGAATGCCCTGAAAGGAGAACAAAAAGGGAGCAGCAGTTCACAGCAACAGCAGCACATGGTGATCTCTTGGCAGAAGCAGGGGACCTCCGTGTGTATCTGTCGTGCTTAACTTCTCTCCTGCAGTCCAGGTTCAGGGTAGCCAACTGAACGCATATGCAAGAGTTTCTCAGTTGCTCGAGAGAAGACGCAAAACTACATCCCATGCTTCCACAAAGTCCACTTCAACATCCATAGACCGAGAAAGATGGTGTGAAGGAAGGCAGAGACATGAACCAGGAAAGAGTTGTGTGGTTTGCTACGCTGCACAGGGGAAGGGGTCAGATCAGACAAAAAAGTAAGGGAGAGAGAATGATAGAGAGAGACGGAAGCGGAAAAGGGGAAACACACGCGAACTGCAATGTCACAACCGTTCGACGAGGTGGGTCACTCGCAGAAGCTTCAAGGGCGCCTTCGTCGCTTCTCAGCGTCAAGCTTGATCATCCGGCATTCCAAAATTGAATTTAAATGCGAAGCATTTCTTTGCGAACTTCGCCAACTTTGAGCGCATCCATCCATCCATCCATCCATCCATCCATCCATCCGTCCGTTCGTCCGTCCGTCCGTCCGTCCGTCCGTCCGTCCGTGCACGAACCTGAGGACTGCATTTCGTTGTTATTGCAGTATTTATTGTTTATGTCTTTACTATTGTACCTTCGTCTTTTGTTAAAGCATTGATACGATGCCTTTTTCAGAAGAGGGCAACGCAACGTTCCTTTCCTCCCGTTTTGTTATCACCCCGTTACAATACATTCAGCGCTAACTGAACCTACGACGTTCGAGAAGCTTCGAGGTTTTAGTAGATTGTTTTGTTAAGATTTTGTTAGTAGAATGTTTTGTACACAGCCCACTTCGGGAATTTCACAGATTATACGGGAACCTACGTCGCCGCTAGCGATAAAGCTAGAATATTCGATGGCAAGGGTATAAATGCCGACATGAATCGCCGCTTGTCAGTTGATCGACGGACGACGCTCCGCTCGCCGCAATCAGTGCCAGTGTCTTACTTTCCTTTTGCATGGCCACAAATTCGGCCCAAAGAAACATGTTTCTTCTTCGACCTGGATTCTGCTCCGTTCGTTCACGTCACGACCCCGTAACAATATACCAATCTTGGTATCACGTGACGTGGATAGATTACAAAGGTAAATGACACGTCCAAACATCATAATCATGATATGCGTGTCATGTAACACATGACTACATGCTAAGCCTATAGCGTGCTCGTGGCCGTTTTGCTAGTTCAATATGTAGCAAATTGGGTATCACGGAACGTGAATCGATGACAAAGGTAAATGACACGTCCAAATATGATAATCGTGATATTTGTGATTGATGATATGTGGGGTTTAACGTCCCAAAACCACCATTTGATTATGAGAGACGCCGTAGTGGAGGGCTCCAGAAATTTTGACCACCTGGGGTTCTTTAGCGTGCACCCAAATCTGAGTACACGGGCCTACAACATTTCCGCCTCCATCGGAAATGCAGCCGCCACAGCCGGGATTCGAACCCGCGACCTGCGGATCAGCAGCCGAGTACCTTAGCCACTAGACCACCGTGGCGGGGCAATCGTGATATTCGTGTCATGTAAAACATAGCTACATGCTACGCTCATAGCGCGCTCATGACCGTTTTCCTAGCTCAACATATGCCGAATTGGGTATCACGTGACGGTAATACACGTCGAAAGTAAATGACACGTCCAAAATTGATAATCATGGTATGCGTGTCATGTAAAACATGGCGACATGCCGCGCTCATATCACGCTCGCGTCTGTTCCACTTGCTCCACATATACAAAATTATGTATCACGTCCCGTGATTAGACGACGAAGGCAAATGACGCGTTCAAACATGATACTCATGACATGGAAGTCATGTGCGATGTAACTACGTCCACGTCGTAATGTTGTGTTAGTTCTTTGCCTTGACCATTCCGCCGTCTTAATTTTAAAGTGACACATCATCCTTTCTTACTTGTGCTTCGCATTTCATTGATTCCCACTACTTGAGATCTGCCATGTTTTTTTTTTGGAAAGTGGCTGGTCAAGAAGGCGTGTAAACACTGCAGTGAGGGAATGCTTCTGATAGCTTATCGGAGGGCACTGACACAAAATAGGTTCGATTGCTTCGTCAATGCCGCAGTGGTCACATGCAGCACTGTCTGCCCATCCGATGTGGCAAGCAAAGGCCTTCGTATTAGACACGCCAAGCCACATACGGCACTATTATTATGGTAGGCTACGCAACATTATGGTCAAGTAGACTATGCGATCGACAGACAGACAGACAAAGAATTTTATTGGGTCTTGAGGAAATCTACTCTTACAGCAACGTCACGGGCTGCTCCCACGTAGGAATGGGGAGGCCTAGCCTCACCACTACATTGTGGGCTCTCTGGACAGCCCATGGTTGTGATAGCAACTACGAACTTCGTAAGGCAGAGTCCCAATCTTCTTCTGTGAGCCGACTTGGGCCCTGCAACGAGGGGCACGGCCGGAGCATATGTTCTAAGTCCCTGGCCTTACCACAACCAGAACATGTTGAGTCAGAAACCTCTGAAGAAACCATGCTTAGGAAAGATAGGCTTGAATAGGACCTGGTTAGGAGCATTCTAAACGTGATGGCGTGGGGTCTAGATAACTTGCTCTGTGGAGGTGCAAATGACCGCCTACTCAACTTGTAGTGTTTAGCCACTTCACTGAATGTAAAGAGTCTCTGAACATCTTACTGCCAACCTGCGGACCTACGTACTCCCAGCACGGAGGGTTATTGCGCGACGTGATGGACAAACTTATAAGGTTGATAATGACTTCCTGCATACACAGTTCCATATTATTGTTGCTTCCAAATGTGACTGGCTTCTGAAATTGGTTACAATCACTTGAATACAAAAAGTTCCCTTTGATCACATTTAAAAAAGGTAACCCTCTCTAGAAACGCACAAAAATGTACGATTTTTGCGTACTAAAAACATGTGCAGTCTAGTAAAACCGTCATAAAAACGTTTCCTATGTTCAATGTTCATTATTCGGGTGCGTCGGACACCTGTTTAGAGCCCAAGCACAACGCCCAACTCATAAACTGGTGGGTAAAAGTTTTACCGGAAACGTATCTTGTCTTTTTGCGATATAGGAAAAGGGGACTATACAGTCTAAACCAAGGCTTCCGTACAGCTGACAGCAGAAGTCCCATTCCCGAAACTCTGGCAATAGAAATCGAGGCATGATATATATATTTAGAGGTGCTAGTACACCGTGTACACGTACTACGCCACATTTAGGAGCTATACTCCTAAACTTGCGCCCTGTCCGGCTGCCACCAGCGTGTACAATAAGTGTTACCAGTCTCCAATTCACAGGTCGCCGCTGATTGTCAATGCTCCGGTCACCTCTCTGGTGATTCCAACAATGCTCATTAGATAGCACGCCGGCACCCAAGGCGTCGGTTTTTGATGGTCCGCGTGCTCGCCTCCTCGCGATTATGTCCACTAACTCCACTGCGCTCTCGTCGCTTCGTATAGGCCCGGCAGCACGTGACAAGTTCCTACGATGAGTGTTACGCATGGGTACCGATGTTCTTCGAAGCCCTTTCACCTGTCGGCCCACAACTCCATGCAAGAACACGTGATAGCTCCATGTCGGCCATTTATGAGAGTTAGGCGTTTGACTCCCGGCAGCGGCCAGTATTGCATAAAGAGGCAGGTGGCTAACGTGCCGAACGACGTGGCCAATACCGCGATGTGGTGGCAGCAGAACGTGCCCGACACCGCCGCTTTCGAGGTACACATCATGGAGCACCTCGTTAACAAGGACTCCTTCAGAAACGATCTCGCCAAGAAACACCCCGCGCACCTCCGAGCAAGCTCCTCTAACATCACTCATTTTGAAAATGTGGCGGTGTTTTTTTTTTCTCTAAAAAGCGGGAAATGCTTGCGGAAATTTTGGGTTTTTATTGTCAGTAGATGTGATAAACGTAAATGTTTACGTTAGTTGGTTATTGATCGTAGACGGAACAGTTTTAATACAGAAAAAAAAGAACGGAAGAGAAGAGATGACAAAACTAAGCGCCCTGAGACAAGTGCAAAATATATGGGCAGCTCTGATGGAGAAATGCGGGACTATTCCGTGAGGTTGCCTAACTGTCTCGAGATAGCGACACACACCAGAGTGACTTGTTGAATGAGGATGGCTAGACAAGCAGTATTACGGTTTCAATTTCACTTGTTAAACTAATAAACAAAAACATCAACTCCTATGAGTGCAACGACCATACGTTCACAACACCGTAGTTTAATGACCTCACGTGGGTAAGGGCTGAAATTCTCAAAATAGCACCCATGGTGCACGTGTATTAACTATTGTAGAACATCAATGAAGCAGTAGTCGAAAACAGCGAGGATATGGGCGCCGTTTGCGAGGATATGCCAGTTGAGCTATTTGGCGCTCCCGTTTAAGTTTCACCATTGGACGAGATGGAATATTATTTCCACGAAAACAACCAGCGTCACTTTTAGGAAATGCCAAAGCCACACGAGGTTTTTCGCAGGAATAACCTAATTTATTCACTAGAACATACAATCCATACCCCCTCATTTAAAATGTTTAGTGCTATAGGCATTGGTAGACAGACACTAGTAGACATTTATTAAAATATATGTTTACCAAGGCCGTAAATAATGAAATCAATCATTGTATACTTGCCGCTACGCGAAAGTAGCAAACAGCTATCGCATATATCTTACGGAGAATTCGCGGACGCATTTCTTCAAACAGCTTGCGTATAATGAAGCATACCAATTCAATCAGCAAATTAAGCCCACCCTGTGCCAACAATGAGGCCCTACAACACTTCCTCAAGTAACAATCAATTTGGCTTCAATAAGGAAGTTTGTTAGCTGGCGTCAGAAAAATGGTCCATCACGAGCGCGTCCGGATTTTGAATCCTTCCTTGTTTGTCTTTCTTCCAACGTCTTTTTTCCTTTCGCAGTGATCGGGAGTGGGTGCGTGGGCATGCGGTCACCTCTCTTGGAAGCAGTGGTTGTTACGCAGCTCACAACGCTGAATTCAGCTAATCACCATGAATATTAGTATACGACATCATTTGCGGAAAGAAGAGATAAAAATTTCTAGATGGCTTCATGCATGAATTGCGAATTCCAGGCCACGTCCTTCGGTATAATCATTGGGTTGCGTGTTCTCAGGAGCGTCGAATACCAATCAGAAGCGTTTTCGAACCACGCTGACGAAGTGTTACAGGGCACTTTTAAAAAGGTTACCGTCTTACAATACAGTCAGAAAAGCAGCAAACGTGGAGAAGGGCACTGCGATGGTGACGTGACACTCGGCTGAAATACAGTAAGTAGGTGCCCTGGAATATGCCACCACTTTTTACCTCCAAATGAGAAAACGTGAATTTTTAAATAGTAGACCACATTTTTCTGAGTCACGCAATACATATTTTTTCTTTACAGACATGCACTGTGGAATGCAGCAGAGGTGTTCTGAACGCAAGATGCCATTTTAATATCAAAGACGCCTCTCTTACGTACACAGGCAAAATGTCCTATAAACAACCCGTAGTGGCAAATTTCAAATTATACGCATGGATTATAGAGTTCCAGTTCTACGACCACCGTAATCCTGCATTACTAAGCTCGACAATTGTGAAAACCCTGAGTGGCCAACCAAGAAAGCGTGAGAGAGATTTTCTTACTTGATAATTTACACAGCACTGAGTTGAATGCAGGACAATTTTTTGTTGAATATTTCCTAACAATAGTCTACGTTGCTGTAGTACGCATATACTGAAGTGCCAGCAGAGGTGTTCCCTGGAACGCACTTTCTTTGACTGCATAGGTAACACGTGAAACAGAGCGTATAACCTGCGAATCTGTGCGTACAAGTGTATTACCGCCCTATATTATCTTTTACTGACTGTTGCACAGCGCTGTACAGCTAAAACAATACATAAACACAGGACGTGATCCTCCGCTAGCGGGTGAAAAGATTCACGAAGTTTTCACTAAGCCACGCAATTCTGAAAAAGAGTGATACTAAGTGGTTCTTGAGATTAATATGGCTGTTTGTAGGCTGTTTGTAGGCCTTAGCTAGAAAATACAGCTTCAGTCTACGTTTTCTATATAGATCTTTGCTAGGTTTCTGCTAGGTGGTGCGAAGTTGTTTCTGCGTTGACTCTCAGCGTAGAGTGGTTCGAGTTAAAGAACAGTCACAGACAATACTCGCGCACTTCGTCATTGGTGTAGGCCTTTGGGGTCTTGTCGCAACCGCCCTTGCTTTCCTTTTCCCTATAGTATTCTTTCGTCGTACATAGTCGGAGTTGTACATAGTGATACATGCGACTGCGACAAAGTTGAAGCACAGTATGAAGACCAATGCGATATATCACCACTCCAATTAGCTTCTCGGGAGTAGGACATGAAAACCTAGACATGAAGTTACCTTCAAGTGCGCAAAAGGAACAAGTGCCCCACCCTGTTGCAGTCTCGCGATAAACCTGTTTGGAGGGAGGCACTAACCAAGTGAATATAGGCACTATGGGATTGCGATCGGCCAGACAAATGATGGTGAGCGACATTTACTTTACGAGGTAGTCATAATCAACGTGTGCTGCTTATTCGCAGCACATGACTTGACGTCACTGAACTTGAAGTCCGGAGGTAAATCCTTCAAAGCTACCAACAAATGTGGGATACCAAGCCAAAAGACTGGCCACCAAAAAACGTCGATGCTTGTTGAAAGTGCGTCTTGTGCTCTTACTTTTGACTGAGAAAACAGTCCACTTAGTTATAATTGCACCCAATGGCAAAAAGTGTAAGAGCGATGCACGATTCCCACAAAGTGCAGTAAATTTGACGTCGGTATATGCATTCGAAGCTTCATACCACTTTACATTAACGGCCCAACAAATATCTAAACTTATTTTTCACAATGTGTCAGGGCCCGAACTATCATTAACCACCTTGAATTTTCGCTGTCGCTTGATAGCCTAGCGTAACCATCTGGTCATGGGCCACATCTTGTTAACTAGGAGCACGTTCTCCATGAAAAATTTTCAGCGTGATTTATGCAGACAGAGATACGATAAAAAATTACAACTGTTTTTATGATGCTAAAAAATTAAACCGGTTCCTAATAGGTTAAAGAGCTCGCTTTACTTCTGCTATTTGAGAAGCATCAAAGCTATGTACATGTATACACCAATGACTCCACTTTGGTGAACAGCTCAACCACAGCTGTTGTTTATCATACCTTTAAAAGCCAAAACATTCAAAATTAAAAAGCCGAGCTCACCGCACTTCATGCCACACTTCCTTTCAATATTCATGAACGGGTACAAAAAAAAGACCATTTTCAGTGACTTCAAGGTGGCGCTGCAGTCTATTCTGTCACCTTTACGTATCGGCCCACCCGAGCATCTGCTGTTTGTGATTACAAAAGCGACACACCATTCAACAGAGGATGGACACGAACTACCTCTTCAGTGGCTACCTAGTCATTGCTGGATTATCGACAAAGAATAAAGCGGTCGACTGGCCCGTTTCACCCTTGGTGAAAACAAAGAAGTGTAAATTCCTCTTTCCTGAACAGACGCTGCACGAATGCTCCGCATGCTTGAAGGTCAAATCACCACGTCGAAGTAGAACAAGCCTCATTTCAAGCACGCACAGCTATAATCCGTGGACGTCACTCTATGTCTTCAAGTTCTTCCAGGACATCACAGACCGGATGATAGCCTACAGTGCAGGCTCTGGTTAGGGTGTCCCATTCGCACATACGTACTAGTTCTACATAGGAATGGCTGATACCGCAGCTTGTGACCACCGTGGCAGCGACGAAACAATTATGCATATTATGTGCGAATGCTTACAATGGAGTTCTCAGACAGTTTCTTTACAATACACTCAATCAAGGGGGCAACCAGACTCTTTCGAGAGAAAGAATCCTGTGCCTTTGACAGGACCTAACGCCACAGACGAAGGCTTTGCGGTGGCTATTGTGCTTTCTATATTCAACCGATCTCTCAAAATGACTCTAACGTCCTGCATGTGTGTGTCTGTGTACATATTTTTTGTTTTTGTTTGATGTCTCTCTCTGTCCTCCTTAATAATAATTGTGGGGGATTATGGCGTGGAGCAGGCTTGGAAGGACTCGTTTCCGTCGAGGTAATAAAAGAGGCTTTGTTTACAGGTATGAGGTCATTAAGACCCTGCTAATCAGAGGACCCCGTTGTTTTTGTTGTTGTTGTTGTTGTTCTGTTGTTGTTGTTGTTGTTTCCTCTGCACATGGCTCGTGCCCAAAGGAGGGGATTGGCCGATTATAAGGTTTATTTGCGCGATACTTTCTGCATTGCTTCATTCCTAAAAAAATTTAGTTGTTTGATTTCTCTCATTGTTGCTAGCGCTTCTTCTTCATCGTCTGGTTGTCTGCCAGTGCTCACGATAGAAATAATAATAATAATAATAATAATAATAATAATAATAATAATAATAATAATAATAATAATAATAATAATAATAATAATAATAATAATAATAATAGGTGTTGGTGTTCGACATCCCAAAGCCACCATATGATTATGAGAAACGCCGTAGTGGAGGGCTCCGGAAATTTCGACCACCTGGTGTTCTTTAACATGCTCCTAAATCTAAGCGCTCGGGCCATTAGGATTTTCGCCTCCATCGGAAATGCGGCTGCCACGGCCGGAAATTGATCGCGTGACCTGCGGGTCAGCAGCCGAGCTCTCCGTCTTCTTTCCAATGCCTATTTTTTACCCCTGCACAGGGTAGCAAGTCGGTTCGCTTACTAGAATTTCACGAAGACGTAGAATATAATGAGGTCATGAGATCTTACATACGCTAACGGCACGCATAAATTCACTTGTTCATGTCTTCTTTAATGAGCTTCGATTAGGGTTTTCGCTTAATTTGCGTTTACACCTACGCCAACAAGGTCTCGTCACTCACAAGTCCTTTTGACTCATATGGAATTCAGGCATTCAGCTAATATTGATTGGGAATTCAACAATACATACTGTAAAATATGTTGGCACGCTTGCTAAAAGATACTGGCTCTCGTTACTGGGGGTAGACGTAAGCATGGTTTTTCTTCCAGTGAAGCACAATTGGTTGACCACAACCTTGCACTCACTCGGAAGGGCACACGCTTTAGAACTGTACCCCAACACTGTTACTCCTATATAAACATAGATTTTTCCACCCACGTTCTTGATAAATCGAGGGCCTTATTTAGTGTAAAAAGATGATGCGGCTGCAATGAGAGACTACACTTGTGCCGCGAACGCATCGTGGCACTATTTTAGGAAGAAAGTGGAAGCCGGTGCTACAAAACCATTGCTTCCTAGATTACACGCAGTGAGCACGCAGTTTAGTCACTCACAATTGGCTTTGAGAAGGGTACAATTTTCAAGATGGTGTTTCAAAGAGCAGGATTTTGGTCACCTATCTGCCTTTGGGATGGCGTCGTTGCAAGTGAGAAATGGATTTGTCAGCGTAGAAGTTGCAGCTTCAGTGATCACTTGAAGAAACAAGCATGGACTTTCAAGCAACCCACTCTATTCATTGTTTAGACCACAGATTCAAGACCTCTTGAGGAGGAGGATCAAGTTACACGAATACCACCCGGCAAGGACCAGATGGCAAATCATCCAAGGTGGTGGGAGGTGTTGCAGTTAAAGAGAAAAAAAAATGGTGAATTGATATTTTTGCACTAAAGAGCACGAGTAAGCTCATGCGGGCCAGAGTAAGACGACGTCTCTTATCGCCGCGAGGGCAACAGCTGCAGATTATATACATCTCTTATTTCCCTCGCGCAGTGATCTATGGAGGTCGCGAAGAATAGAAGTGGCTAAAACCAAATTTCGCTGCCACGTTACCTCTCTCAATTTTTCCCTGCATAGACCAGATTGAGCAATTTCTCCTGTATGTCCCTTTTGCATTGAGGAGGAAACCATTACTGATTACTTTCCATCTTGTCGCCGGTTCACATCAGTGAGGAAAAGAGCACCTCTTCAAAATCTGGGTTTGGAGATATCAACAGAACTAGTTGTTCTTTCTTTCGGCACCACTATTCTGTGGTACAGTCACAGGGATATTTTCTTTGCTACTAAGGAATTTATGAATCAGTCTAAAAGAATATCCAGCTAAATTCTTCATCTTTCAAATATCTCATAAATATTATTTCGTACTTGAATTCTCTGTATAACAAAATAGTGAAAAAATACACATACTACTTGGTCCATCCACTGCATTAGGTATGAGTCATCACACTCGGAGCATCCATGTCCCGACTCGGAGCATCCATGTCAAAAATGTACCGCCAAGGTCCTGCCGCTCCACGTCTCCGCAAGGTCGTCGGACACGTTCACCTTTCCGTCCCCATCCTCAAGTGGCCGCGGCACTTCGGAAAACTAGGCGGCACAGACCCCGGAGGGGACGTTACAACTACGACCCGGCCTTGAAAATATCTACCGACACTGCCTACAAGCTGAAATCTACCCTAAGTGTAAGTTCATGGTGTTCATGTCAGATATCCTGCCGACACAAGGGCACAGCTTTCAGTTATATGAGTACTGCTCTCCGCCAAATACTCAAGAAGGTCCCCACACGTGCCGCGACGAGCAGAGTACGAGTCGCCGATGGTGGCACTGCCTCTGT